AGAAAGGAATGACAGAGAAAAAAATATATGACAACAAAAAGGATGAAAATCTGCTCTTTAATTACACTGAAATTGATCAACAGCCATAAGATCAGTATCCAGATTCTGATATAAAGTAGTTAAAAGGGGATGAACAGTTTCTACACAAGAATATGTACATGATAAAAATCACCATGTAGAAAAATGGGTTTTTTTAGCCATTGAAGAAAAGCAAACTAAAACAATTGAAATAAATCATTATACCCCAATTAAACACTTCTTTTTCTAATAAAAAATTGATTTTGGCAGGACTCTAGGTCTTTCTCTTGTTTCTTCAATGCCAGAACTAACACAGCAGTGAATCCATTAAATCTGTCTAGGGTACACTTTGAAAATATGTAAAAAGAGCAATCACACAATCCCTACAGTTCTACTCAGTTACTAAATTTGGGGGGAAAATAATTCAAGGAAATAATCTCAAAAGGGTGAAAGAATTCTGCTAACTATAATTTTTTAAAACAGCTTTATTTGTTTGTCCATTTCTGGCTGCGCTGGGTCCTGACTGCTGCTCAGGCTTTCCTCTGGCTGTGGCGGGCAGACTCAGGCTGCAGGGTGTAGGCTTCTCAATGCCCAGGGTGTAGGCTTCTCAACGCCGTGGCTCCTCGCGTTGCGGCGCTCGGGCTCCAGGGCACCGGCTCAGTCGTTGTGTACGGGCTTAGCTGCTCTTCAGCATGTGGGATCTTCCCGGACCAAGGATTGAACCCAAGTCTCCTGCATAGGCAGGCGAATTCTTTTACCACTGAGCCACCGGGGAAGCCCTGCTACTTGTAATTGGAAAATCAGCTGGCCAAAGGCCTGACAAGAACTGGGCAGGGCCTAAGAGTTTAGCCTGTTTGCAGGCTAACAAGCCACCATGTAACTTTTTCATAGATGCTGCCACAAGACAGAAGACGCCCAGGCCAAAGGCAGAGGACTTTATTCCTCTGGGCAGAAGCTGCAGCTGGAGCTCCATGTTTATGGGTACTGGCTCTCCACGTTTCCCAAGTCCATGGGCTTCTAGAAAGGGCCCCAGGCTGGACCCTGCATAGGCAGGGGGTTGGGTTACAGAGAGGAACACTCAGGTCTGGCATGCCTCACGTCATAGTAATGGCAGCGAGCTTGGCCCCGGGGAGGGATTCCTTCACCCTGTAAGGTGGCTCGCTGCACATACAACTCTAAGAGATAGCCTGGATAATAATGAATCAGCACCTGGTAACCTTGGCCTGCCCTACATGAATGTGTAGGGGGCTCGGGGTCCTGGATCACCTCTCCCAACTGTGCCTCAATTTACTCATTCAACATACCCATTCAAATTTATTATCATCTTCTATGTACCTGGCACCAAAATACAGTTGACCCTTGAACAACAGGAGTGTGAACTGCACAGGAACACTTATGCACAGATTTTTGTTTTTTCGTGTAAATACCTCTTATAGTACCATTCAACCAAGCAGTTGTTTGAATCAGTGAATGTAGAACTGCAGATAGGAGGACTGATTGTAAAGTTATAGGTAGATTTTCCACAGCACAGCACCCCTAATCCCCAGCTCCAGGGTCATCTGTAGATACTCAGGATACAGTGGTGAATATATTTCCTGCCTAAGAAGAGCTTGGGCTTCCCATGTGGTTCAGATAGTAAAGAATCCGCCTGTAATGCAGGAGCCCAGAGTTCTATCCCTGAGTCAGGAAGACCCCCTGGAGAAGGGAATGGCAACCCACTCCACTATTCTTGCCTGGTGAATTCCATGGGCAGAGGAGCCTGGTGGGCTACAGTCAATGGGGTGGGAAAGAGCTGGACATCACTGAGCAACTAACAAATGCTTTCACTTTTCTTTCAAAAAGAGCTTTCATAGTAGGGAGGCAGATATCAAAAAGGAATTAAATAACCTGATTTCCATGAACTGTTGTGAAGACAAATAAAGCAGAAGAGTGGGACAGAGCTGCCTTTTGATAGAGTGATGGATTGTAGATCCAATGATCAGGGATGGTCTGAGATGGTAACACTGGGCCAGAGGCCAGAAGGAAATAAGCAAATGAGCCACATGACTACCTGAGGGAAGAGCATCCCAGGGACCAGCACACCCACACCCCATAGCACTGGGAATGGGATGTGCTTGTACCTTCAAGAATAAGAGCCAGGGGGCTGGAGTGTGGTGAGCAGGGGAGAGTAGTCAGAGGTGAGAGGAGGAAAGCCCAAGAGATAATATAGTTTTGTAATGGGGACAATATAGTTTTTTAACATGACAAGCAGACTTAGCACATGAAGCAATTTATATAAAAGAATTCAATAGGGTGGGAGGTGGGAAAGAGGTCCAAGAGGGATGGAACATATGTATACCTATGGTCGATCCGTGTTAATGTATGGCAGAAACCAACACAATATTGTAATTATCCTTCAATTAAATAATTTTTAAGTAAATAAAAAAAAGAGTTCAATAAAAACCATCAAACTGAACCCCCAGTCCAGTGTATGGAGGGCTGCTGGGTATCAAGGACAGATGGGGGAGGGGACCAGAAGAGCTGAGTCCTGCTCCTACCATCAGTTAACAGGCAACAAACCTCTCGCCCACCATCAGTTAACAGGCAACAAACCTCTCGCTGTTTCTCCATCTGCAAGTGGGTAAGATCAAGTGAAATAAAAGGTGTGGATGTATTGTGTGGTTACAAATATTTGAGAGAGTACCACTGGAAAAACACAATCTTCATCAAAAGGTCACAAGAGGATGGAATTTAAGCTTTGAAATAGAAATTTAAAACAGTAGCAGCAGTCATCATTTATTGAACTCTTAGTAAACTATTAAACTATAGCTTTATAATAATCTCATGACAGTTATAATTAGCCTCATTTTTAAAATGAGAAAACAGTCTCAGAAAGCTTAAGTTGCTCAAGTCTCTGACTTAATACATGGAACAACATAAAAAAGCATAACTATGAAGAGTATATATAGCAACATGAAAAATATTAAGAGAAATCTGCAAAATAAAAAATTGGTTTTAGGCATGCAACATGTATGTGCATATATGCAAAGAACAGAAAACAAAAGCATGCCCTGCATCTGACTGAGGCAAGATGAATACTTTTACATTTTTGATATTTTTTGCTCTTGTTAGAATGTTTGCCGAATAAAAGAGGGAGAAAATTCTTGTGAAACTATTTTAAAGACTAGTCCCCATTTTTTTCCCTAAAGGATGGTCTTTGTCATGTCAATTTTCTCAACACCATCCCAAATCCAGCTTTTCCCACTTTTCCTGCGAACCCTGCTCCTCGGCATTCACACCTGCTCGTCCGTCTCCAGGTGGCTTGACCTCAGCTATTCACACTCTGGCCAGGTCCCGTCCTCCACGTATCTCTGTGCAACACTGAAGTGCCTGCCTAACAATTCAGTAAGCCTAGGGGCTGCTCCCACCACAGCGTCCCCCTCTTTGTGATCTCTGAACAGTTCATCAATTTCCATTACTTTTATCAACCACTTGACCATTATGCCTGAAGGTCCAAGTATTTTTACTCTGACTCCTTTGCCTGGAGTCAGCAAGAGCAGTCCCATGCAGGATGCAGAGCATCCCAGTCTGTGAATGGCTAAGGAAGGGAGAGCAAGGACATTCTCTCTGTCCTTGATCCCCAAAGATTTCTCCAGATGCCAGGGGTGGGATGCTCAGAGGACTAGGGAAGAACCCCCATCACCCACTGCAGCTTAGGGCATTTTTCCACAGAAAGCCCTGCTTTCTGCGGACCCTGCTCAGCCTGAGACTCGGTGTTAATAAGAAACCAAGCTGCCCTGACAAGAGATGGGGCAGTTTGGGCTCTGTGTCCTTTACATTTCTACTCTACTCCCAGGAACAGGCTGGAAGGCAGCTGTAAGTTGATTGCATTATGATTGAACTATTTTTTAAAATGTAAGAGACTGAAAACGGGGGAGGCAGGGCGGGTTAGGGGAATTTCACTTCCCATTGGTTTCCACCTTTGTCCAGGGGTCAACAAAATAGAACCCCATCTTCACACTGGATGTGAAGAACTGGCAGACGTGCCCCAGGATCAGGAACTTTGGCAGCTGCTAAGGGAGCGCGGGGTGGAAGCCAGTAAGGTTGGGTTGGAGACTGGGAAGAGGTGGTGGACACGCCCTTCTCAGGGCCTCGGCCAAAACGCGTAGAAGCCAAGTTCTCTCTGAGAGCCAGAGAGAGAACTTGTCAAGGCAGCACGAATCCTCAGAGGGGCAGAAGGGTAGTAAGGGAAGCCGCAGGCAGGACGGAGCCGGGTCGACGAGCTTCCTGTTGAGCATCCCTAACACCCGAGTCCCCTAGTTCACACTTACTTAGGATGGAGACCGAGGAAAGCAGAACCTCTCGGTCCCGGACAGGGCCGGTCCCTCTGTTTCCAGATGTCAAACCGTACCTCAGGCGAGTCCCGGGGATCCGGCTACGGAATTCCTAGGCGATTGTGAACCTTCTTCGGGGACTCCCGCGTTAGGGTTCTCTCCGCGCAGAGGGGAGAGGGAGACCCACGGGACAGCCTGAAGGCCCTGCGCAGTCGGCTGGTTCCCTAGACCACGCCGCCCTCGCCCACCCCGGGTGCAGCTCTGCTCAGGGCCGCCGGGCTCGGAGTCGCGGGCCGCTCTCCAAACCCACTCTGCGCGCGGACACCCGCCACGCCCTCGGACTCCCAGCCCTGTGACAGCCCGCTGCCCTGGGAACCGCGAGGAAAGGCAGGAGGGACTGGCGCGGGGACTAAGGTGGACGAGTCGGACTCCTGAGGGGGCCCACTCTTTTCTCCACTGGAAAAGAGACCCACGAGGACTCAACGGCGAGGCGCCAGAGGGGCGGGGAGCTGCGGCCCCATGAGGGACCAGAGTAGGGCAAACTGGACTCCTCTCTGCCCTCCCCATCACGCAAGGCCCCCTTCCACGCCCTTACTCGCCGCGTCCACGCCAAGCCCAGGGCGCGCTTGCGTCCCCGCGGGGGAGCCGGGATCCCGCGCGCCGCGCGCTATGGAAGCAGCTAACCTCTCGGTGGCCTCCACCGGCGTCGCCCTTCGCCTGGGACCCGCAGCCTTCAGCAGCAGCCCACACCCAAGCGGGGTCGTCGGATCGACCCCAGGCGGTGCGGCCCCGCCGGGCCGAGAACCGCCCTTCTCCGTCTTCTCGATGCTGGTGGTGACGCTGCTGGTGCTGCTGATCGCGGCCACGTTCCTGTGGAACCTGCTGGTTCTGGTCACCATCCTGCGCGTCCGCGCCTTTCACCGTGTGCCGCATAACTTGGTGGCCTCGACGGCCGTGTCGGACATGCTAGTGGCCGCGCTGGTAATGCCCCTGAGCCTGGTGAGCGAGCTGTCGGCTGGGCGACGGTGGCTGCTGGGCAGGCGTCTGTGCCACGTGTGGATCTCCTTCGACGTGATGTGCTGCACCGCCAGCATTTGGAACGTGGCGGCCATCGCCCTGGACCGCTACTGGACCATCACGCGCCACCTGCAGTACACGCTGCGCGCCCGCCGCCGCGCCTCGGTGCTCATGATCGCGCTCACCTGGGCGCTCTCGGCTCTCATCGCCCTCGCACCGCTGCTCTTCGGCTGGGGCGAGGCGTACGACGCTCGACTCCAGCGCTGCCAGGTGAGCCAGGAACCCTCCTACGCCGTCTTCTCCACCTGCGGCGCCTTCTACCTGCCGCTTGGCGTGGTGCTGTTTGTCTACTGGAAGATATATAAGGCGGCCAAGTTTCGCTTCGGTCGCCGCTGCAGGGCTGTGCTGCCCCTGCCCTCCACCGTGCAGGTGAGGCGCGGGTTGGGGAATGGGGATTTGGGAAAGGGGTCGCCGAGGGACGAGGAAGCCTGGCTAAAGGGAGAGCTGGAGGTGCAAGTTTGCACACTTGGCGCAAGCTTTTCAGGTTGGCCAGCCGGAGCGCACGCGGAGTTTGCCATCTGCTCTGCTGCAGCGCTCTTGGAGGACCTCAGCATCCGCGCCTAGCGCGCACACGAGGAGTTCATGCGTGGATGGTGCGCCGTGGGGAAAGGAGTTCCAGCACCTGCCCACTCGGACTGGAGCTGGCGCGGCCACCACGCTGCTGGGAGGGGCGGCAGGGGCAGTGTTGCTCGGCAGCCTTGAGCTCGCGGCGGATCCACGGCGCACTCCGTTGCTTTCCCCCCGGAGCTATTGTGTTCGTGGGAGTCCTCAGCCGCCAGTTTCCTAGCCCCGGCTAGACCAAGCGCGACGGCAGGGGGCTGGAAATTCGTTCTGAGGTTGAACACATTTCTGTGACCATTCGCCCGGTATTTTTGTCTCCACTGCACCCTCATTCACCCCTGCAGTCCCGAGACTATTCACTCCATGGCCAGCTTCCTGCCAAGGGGAAAGTGAGGGTAAAAATGAATCCAAGTATCACTTTTCTTTCACTGTCTCAACCTCAGTGCTATCCTTTAGTGACTTTGGAAAGAGTTAGAAAGCTCAGGACCTTGGGGCAGTTACTTAATCTCTGTTGTTTCCTGCTCTTTAGACTGGTTAATTCCTACATAATAGGGCTTTTGGCTTACGTGAGATAAAGAATGCAGACACCTGGCACAGTGCCTGGCAAACGGCGGTGGAGGGGTTGCAGAGCTGCATGGAGCGAGGGGATCCTCAGGACCAGGGCGTTGCCCGGCAATCTACAATGGGCGCCGGAAACGGAGGAATGTGAGGGAGGAAGCTGCATTTGGCAGAACTTCTCTCCACTGTCTTTAGAATGGGGGCTTTCTGCTTTTTTTGCTTATTGTTTAGCCTGTAATTCCTGTCAGACTCTTGAGACTCCATGGACAGTAACCCGCCAGGCCCCTCTGTCCATGGGATTCTCCAGGCAAGAATACTGGAGTGGACTGCCTTTTCCTTCTCCACTGGATCGTCCCCACCCAGGGATCGAACTTGTGCCTCCTGCTTGGCCTGAGCCACCTGGGAAGCCTCTCTGCCTTTTGGTCAGACCCTAAGAGACCCTAACTCCCTCCTCACTCTGGAGTTCCCTTTGTGGGCTTCAGGCCCTCAGTCCTGGAGAATAATAGGAATTATTGCCTCTTTCCTAATACAATGTATGGACCAGGGGAAGGGGACACGAGGTGGGAAAGAAAGGGGGTCAGTTTTTTTGTTGTTAACTTTGTTTTAATTCTGTAAGTTAACTCAGATGCTTAGGTTATTCAAATGTGTGTATTTTTAAAAGCAGGCATCTCCCGCCCCCCCCCAAACCCTTCATGAAATGGCAGAGGAGTTTTGTAGGATAAAACGGGAATGTCAAGTCTATAATTGGAAAGTGTTGTTAAGACAGAGCTTTATTCAGAATTAATGATGTCCTTTGAAAGGTCCCTTGGAAGTGCCTGGGGTGATTATCCTTTTTCTATCTGATTGCCAAGGCAAGGCAGACTTTTACTAGCTACATCGATCCAGGGTGCACCCAGAGAAATCATGGTGAAATGGATCCCAGAAAGGCTTGCCACGCCTGAGTTTAGTGTTCATTTTTGATAGACCCTATTCAAGCAGCTGATGACAAAGCAGATGTGCCTCGATGATGGGGAGCAGGACAATCAGGATGGTCACTGGTAGGGAGAAAGTTCTCTGGGAGGCAGGGCAGCCTGATGATTTAGCCACCTGCCAGCAATGAGCTGCTTTCCCATTTTGGGCTGCAAGCTTTTTCCTCTAAGACACAGCATTGGTCTAAGTCATGGCTAAGAGTCTTGAATCATATGATGCTGAGGTTGTAGATGAGATGGGTTCAAGAACATCCTGCTTCTTTAGGCTCCAGCAAGCCATCACTCAAACTCTTGGGTAATGTTGCAGAGTCAGCAGTTGCAAGCTTGTTGACCACACCCAAACAGAAGTTTTAACTAATGTGCCAGAAATACTCTCTCTGTGCCTTCCCCCACCTGCTTTATAAAAAAATTTAATTGGAGGGTAGTTGCTTTATGATGTTGTGTTGGTTTCTGCTGCATAAGAACGTGAACCAGCCATGAGTGTATATAACCCCCTCTCTCCTGAGGTTCCTCTCCACCCCTCTCCTTCCGTCCCACCCTTCTAGGTCCTTGCAGGGGCTGGTCTGGGCTCCCTGCGTCACACAGCAGCTTCTCACTAGCTATCTGTTTCACACGTGCTAGTGCATATATGTCAATGCTACTCTCTCTGTTTATCCTCCCCTCTCCTTCCACCCCTGTGTCCACAAGACCATCCTCTACATCTGCATTGCTAGTCTTGCCCTGCAAATAGGTTCATCAGGACCATTTTCTAGATTCCATGTATGTGCACTAACATGTGATACTTGTTTTTCTTTTCCAGACTTATTTCACTCTGTATAACCTGCTTTTCTCTGCATTCCAGGGAAAATGAGTAGAGTTGAGTTTAGGTCCTGCAGAATGTCTTTATTGCTTTCTGTGGGTGATGGGAGCACTTAGGAAGGCAGAAGGCCTCTGGCCATGAGGTTGTGCTCACCCTTCACTGTTTTCAGGGTTCTGTGACTAAGTCCCAACACTAAAATAGAATCAGGCAGGAATCTGCAATCATGCCTCAAGTTTTGAACGTAGACGTGGAAAGAAATGCTGACTGAGTGAGTTCCCTCTTCCAGGCACAGTACACTTTACCTTCTTCCTCTTATTTAATCCTTAGGCTCCAGACACATTGGCATACAGCATCTGTTTGTCAGGATAAGCTAAGATACGCTGAGTAACACAGAACCCCCAGACTAACGGTTTAGCCCAGTTTCACACAAAGGTCAGTGTGGGCCTGGTGGCCCCCGCCCCTGCTCAGCTCTCCTCCAGGCAGCGACTTGTGGATCCAGGCCCCTTGTCATCTTTAAGTTACGCTGTCTTGAACATGTGCTTTCTGAGGCTGCTCTGGAAGAGGAAGGGAGACCTGCAGATACAGCAGCTTCTACCAGCCTTGCCCAGAAGGGCCCCTTCTGGGCACAGTCCATTGGCCAGACACTGTCTGTGAAGACTAGGGGAACCTATGGCTCTGTGCTGAGCATTAACCATCTTTGCCACACAGCTATCATTTTTGTTGTTGTTCAGTCTTTAGGTTGTGTCCACTGAGTTGGGGATGCCATCCAACCATGACAGAGGATGGTCTGTCGCCCCCTTCTCCTCCTGCCCTCAATCTTTCCCAGCATCAGGATCTTTTCCAATGAGTTGGCTCTTCACATCAGAGTTGAATTTAGGTCCTGCAGCTTCAGCTTTGGCACCAGTCCTTCCAGTGAATATTCAGGGTTGATTTCCTTTAGGATTGACTGGTTTGATCTCCCTGTAGTCCAAGTGACTCTCAAGGGTCTTCTCTAGCACCACAGTTCAAAAGCATCCATTCTTCAGATGATCCAATTCAGTTCCCATAAAGTGAGTTCACCCATGACACCTGCCAGTTACTGGGTGGAGAAGCTAAAGTCTGCCCTGGATCTATCAATAAAATCACTGTTCTTTTCATCCCTTTTTCATTATGCTGTGCTCTCTGCATAAATTTAATTTCTGAGCACTGTCACAAGTATCTAGAACTTCATGGGAGTGAGACAGTCATATCGCAGTCAAGGTGGGTCATGGGGATGTCAACTAAAAACAACAACAACAAAAAACAACCTAAACGTTGAGAATGTTGGCAGACTTTCTGAGAACTTCACCCAGAAGACAGGTCCTCAGAAAGCTCTGAGGCGCTCCTTGTGTCATCTTGTTGCAGGCCCATGGGCTGTGGCCCACCAGGCTGCTCTGTTCATAGGGTCCTCCCGGCAAGAATAGTGGAGTGGGTCGCATTTCCTTCTCCAGGTATCTTCCTGACACAAGGATCCAACCTGTGTCTCCTGTGTCTTCTGCATTGGCAGGTGGGTGGCAGCCCATCCATAGGGAGTAGGATCTCAAAACTGCGAACTCCTTTGTAGGAGAGTTGAAAAACAAGTGAATACAGAGGGACCACCAGCTTCTCTCAGGAGTGGGAGTTGATTCCCATCTGCATCCTTTTTTTCCCACCTCATAGATGGGACATCATGATATAGTATGTTCTGCTGCCCCCAGTGCATCCCCCATGGGGTATAATTGTTTCCTACTATGCTGTACTCTTTACTGCTTAGAAGAGGAAAAAAGCAAAGTCAATAGAGATTGTTTGGTTGGTTTTTAAAATGCAACCTCAAACATTTTGTTCATTTTAATTGTTTGTCTGATAACTGTGCCTGATACCAGGGCATGCTTATTTATTAGGCATAGTGGGTATACCACCGAGAGCCGTCATACTTTTCAGGGCCCATGGAAATTGTTTAATTTCTTTTAGAGGGAAAGTGACTAAAATTCAGCCTTGATTATATTAGCCTTTATAATAATATGATCATAAAATATAATTTGTAATACTTTTTAATGGAAGAAGGGCCCACAGAGGCATGGATGCCTCAGGCTCAAGAAGGTTATAATGCAGCCTTGGTTGATACCTTCTTTCATTCACTCAATCAATAAGCATGTGCTGGGAGACAGTGTGCACATTAGTTAAGAGCTTGGGATTTGGAAACAAGGAGACCCGGATTTCAATTCTTTTTGTGCCACTTATTAACTCTCTAGCCAAGTGAGTTCAGCTCCATCTGCCTTTCCCTGTAGGTAAAATAGAAATATTGCTACCTGCCTCTTAACATTCTTGTGAAGAGTAGATGAGATAACAGTGTATATGGAGTAACTAAAATAGTAAACCCTAAATGATGGCCACTGTACTACTTTTGTTACTATTTTTTGCAACTTTTCTTATAAGTTATAAATAATAAGTTATTATTTTATACCTCTTACTGCTGTTGCTCACCA